CAAAGTTTACATGTAAATCAGTGGTGGCGAACCTATGGCATGGGTGCCAGAGGCGGCACTCAGAGCCCTCTCTGTGGGCACATGCGTCGTTGCCCCAGTCCTAGGCCTTCAGCTGGGTTTTATAAAACCTTTTTGCTTTAGGCCTCTGCCGCCATGTGCAAAAAAAAAGAAGTTCAATCAGTCAATTTAAACTTCTCACAGGAAAAAAAAAGTTCTTGCAAAGTTGGAATTGATTGATTGAACTTTTTAGTCCCACCCAGTCTGCCATTAGCACTGCAGCCACGCCCACCCAATTGGCCACATCCACCCAATGGGCCACACCCACCCGGCACTCGACGATGCATAAGTGGGTTTTGGGTTGCAGTTTGGGCATTCAGTCTCTAAAAGGTTCGCCATCACTGATGTAGATCATATTGGTTAAAAATTACCCCAAGTCATTCAAAAATCGCCCAGAATTATATATGATGTAACCAAAATATTAAGAGATAATGAATAAGCTTTTGAATGCCTCGGAATTCTTTCAATCTGAATAGAATTATACTTTTTGTTAAATAACATTTCAATTGAGCAAAGTTTGATTATTCCATTTTAAAATCAAATTATAATCACTTGTTTCTCTTAGGTTATTGTTCTGTTGTCAATAAGAATTTGAAAATAAAGCTGCACACATTGAATAAACTTTTGTGTTTGTAAAAGCAAAGGCCATGATTGTAAAGTTATGCATATTAATCAACATTATTTTTTCCCAAAAGTATATAGATATACTTAGTCTATGGAAACTTGGTAGACTGAGTCTCGATACAGCCCTTCAAAAACATAGCTAAAAAGAAAGGCGGATTACATTCAAGATTCTTAATGTGCAATTGTCCTGCAGTACTTCTTTCATGGAATTTTAGGGGAATCCTCTATTTATATTTGATTTCCCATTATTTCTTCAATTTCTTCACCCTTTCCTTCAGAAAAATGAAATTATCAGTTTTTAATGTGCCATACTGTAATTATTAAACTTTCACTGCCAGGAAAAGGAGAGAAACTTGTTGGAATTTCTCTTAGTTACCAAAAATCATCTGATTAGTCTTAGATATTGTGAGAACAATCAGCTTATTAATATCAATAAACAAGTAACATTTAATAATATTCATAAAGGCACATATTTAACATATCAAAACATAAGACCTAAGATAATTAATAGAAAATAACAAAGCAGCTATGAATAATTTATACTCAAGCCAGTGGCTGGTTTGGTTATCTTAATTATGATTTACACAATGATTTAAATAATCATTGATTCATAATTATATGAATAATACATTGAATAATACACTGAACCATTAACTAACTGTAGACTAAAATGTGGTTGAGTAATTTATGGTGTGGTATGCAAATACAGACATTAAAAGAACCTGTTCGCTAATAATGTAATTCTTGGTCAGATTCTTTTGAACTTAACTTTTTTTGCAGTGGTATTATAAATCTGAAAGGAAAGGACATATACTGATTTTTTTAAATTAATAATCTCCTTAAATGATTGGTTAATTATTAAGTTAATTAGTTTAGATTGTTAGACATGAAAATAATCATTTTTATCAATAATATTTACATTAAATGATCTGTATGTCTACAATACTTACTTATAATAGGATGGGGGACGTGTTTTTATTCAGGCACAGGCAAATGGAAGTACCTAATGTAGAAGAACATCTAAGTTGGTAATTTGGCATTTCCAGGAGTGATAATAAAGTAGGGTTTTTATGTGTATGCAACATCAATGTATGTACAAAGGGTGGAGTTTGATTGTGCTGCCACAAACACCATCTCTGCTGTTTTGCTTCTCCCACCCTCCTCTCTGCACTTCAGTGCTGCTGTCCTGTTCAACTATGAATAGGAATATTTCAATTCTGTTATCTAGACCAGGGATATCCAACCCAAGCAACTTTAAGACCTGTGGACTTCAATTCCCAGAATTTCCCAGCCAGCATGGCTGGGTGGGGAATTCTGGAAGTCAAAGTCCACAAGCCTTAAAGTTGCCAAGGTTGGATACCCCTGATCTAGATGAAGGGGAATATTAAGACATGGATAAAAATATTCCAAAATGTGTAAGAAGAATAAATGTGATAAACATGAACATAGCATCAAGACCGTTATATAGAGAATAGAAACATAAGTGAATGAAGAATAAGTGGGCCACACTATGTATGTATGTATATTTGTAGGTATATATCAGTGGTGGCGAACCGATGGCACGTGTGCCAGAGGTGCCACGCAGAGCCCTCTCTCTGGGCACGTGCGCAGTCGCCCCAGCACAGAGTTCGCCAGAGTAGCTTCTGCCTTCACTTTTTCCTTTCACCTGTTTCCGGTCTCACCCTCCTTCACCAGTAGCGAGGCCTGTGGGGCGATGGCGGCTGTATGGGGCCTCCGTATTTCGGTGAAGGTGACCGAGCTGGACCCCATGGAAGTGGAAAAAGGCGAGCTGTTTCTTCAGACTGGAGCCCCTGCTACCCCCTCGCCTGTGCTATGGCATCAGCAGAGGAACTAGCCGTACCAGTGGGGCACTCATGGAGGAAGCTGCTGCTGGTAATGGAGCCGGGGAAACAGGCCAGGTGGGGGGGAGCTGCCCATGCTGCTGCCACGAGGTGAAGCCAGTGGGAGAAGGGAGATTGGACCCATGTGCCCCGCTTCCTGGTATCCTGCCGCAGCCATGATGTGTTGCCAAAATCGGCCGCAGCACCAGTGGGGCGGCGTGAGAGTCTGCAGCAGGATACCGGGAAGTGGGTGCGTGGGTCCCCTTTCGCCTCGTGGCAGCGGCACTGGAAGCTTCCCCACCCAGCCTGTTTCCCCGGCTCCGCACCGGCAGATGGAGATGGCAAGGGGCTGGGAGTGTGCGTGGGACGATGCGGAGCAGCAGCTGTGAGGGGTGGGCACATGCCAGAGTCCGCCTTCACTTGCCACTGCCCCCACCAGTGCGAGGATGGGCGGCACAGCTTCGCTTCCAGAGTTGCTGCCGGCCGGGTCTGGTGATGCAGGGATTGCCGCTGCCGCCGCCTCCTGCCCAGCCTGCTGCGTAATAAAGCAGGCAGAACTGCAACCATCCCTCTCTTCAACCAGCCGCCCGCTAACTCGCCAAGGTCCCACGTGGCCAGATGCATCCCAGCATGGTTGGTTTCCCTCCTCCCTGTCCCGTCCCTCCTGGCCTCGCATGCTCTCCTTTTCCTGGGCACGACCCACTGCATCGCCTCCTCAGCTGTCGGCTGGCCATCCAGCTCAGAGGCAGCTTCTCTGAACTGGAGGCGGGCAAGGCGGAGCTGTTTTTTGTCTTTTCCTCAGGACAGCTTCGGCAGATCCCCATTCACCCTCTTCCCTTTCACTCCACTTTCAAGCCTTTTTCACAGCTCTGCCCACACAGCCACCGAAGCAGCAGGTGGAGCGCCTCGGCCGATGCGGAGCTGGAAAGATTGCCCCACCCACCACTGCCCAGATACCCTTGCTTCCCAAACCATTTATTTTCTGACCTTTCTTCATCACGCATCTCCCCCCTCCCCAACTCTGCCTGTTGCTGGAGGGCTGGCCCGGTATTGGCAGTGGGTTGCGGAGCCCCAGAGTGTGCCGGTTGAGTGGCCGGCAGGCTGTGGCTGCTGACGGACACCGTTGGCCCCATGCACTCACTGGCCTCTGTGTGCGGGGGCCGATGGTGTCAAAGTGACTCCTGCCTCATCTTGCCTTGTCCCGCGGCAGTGGCACCTCCACCCTGCCCCCTGCCTCGCCTGACCCCACAGGATGAGCCTCCGGCCCACCGCCCCACCCTCCAGAGATCCCCTGGATCTCCTTCAACCCTGCCTGGGCCCACAGGCATCCCTCCCCACGAGCAACATTGAGGTGGCCACGCCCACCCACTCTGCCGTGACCACCACAGCCATGCCCACCCAGTGGGCCACGCCCACCCAACACCCTGCTTTTGGGTTGCAGTTTGGGCACTTGGTCTCTGAAAGGTTCGCCATCACTGGTATATATTGTTAAATTTATTTGCCACCTATCTTGTTGTGGGGCTACTCTAGGCAGCTTAGAACCAGAAAAAAAGACATGAAGAGAATGCAAACAAAACACAAGTAAGATAATAGAACAATAAAATAAATAATGAAAAAGAAAATAACAATACATAAATATGATAACCAAAAAGAGAGACAGTTGCAGAGCAGAGAATAAGAGGGGAGGTGGAGTCCGCCATCAATCCAGCACCCACCTCCAGCATGGAACTCCCCCATTGGGTTCCCAGTGAATATACTAATCATCCCTTTTAGAAATGAGCCAGGAAAGGTCATTTTTTTTTATTCTTGTGGTTCCCCAGCATAGGAGATGCTGTCTAACCATGAAGAGTAGCTGCTAGAACATAAACAAAAAAAATGTGGGGGAAGAATTGTGAATTGTGGAATCTTTACAGCCAAAATATTCTTACCTCTCTCTTGTATGAAGCACACAAATGGCCAGCAAGAGACCTATTTGGGGCACATTGTCTGCACATAACCACTTTTGAGGGTGGATGGAGGGCAGATGATGGCTAATGGAGAAGGGTACCTCCTTTTGACTGCACTCCATGCCTCCCCCCAAAGATTCTGGCTCTGAACTCTGAGCCGGGTTGTGAAGAGGAAGGTGAGTTACAAGCAACATGTGATGTATATGTTGTGGCCAGAGGGATTGTAGAAACCTCTGCTAGAATAAAAATATAGCATCTTGGTTGTAAGGATGGCCAATGAAAAAGAAGGGAAAGAGGGAGGGAGGGAGGTTGTTAAAAGTGAAGACAATAATAGGTGATCCTGGATAGGATCAGTAAGATGGGAAGATAAAGTTTGTGAGTCTGCAGAGAAAGACTTGTAGATGAAATAGAAAAGAAAGGAGCAGAGTTGGGAAAAATGGCTGCATGCATCTCATGTTATAGCTAAATATTAATTAGCTTTTCAATCAACAAATTGATAAAATCACACATATACACTATTCATATATTTGAAATTTATTAAAATATTGATTTAACAGAAAGAAAAAACATTTTTAGTTAGCTATAATAAAAAAGCAAATTGGACACAATTCATGGCTGAATTCATGACTTGGGAGTTTCTTACTGTACTTGTTGGTCTACCATCCTTCTATAGCTTCTAAAAAAGAAACAGATAAAATGTGCAGTGATGCAATGGTGTCATTTCCTTCCATCCTTGTTTTGATATTTGCATCTTCCATCCTTGTTTCGATATTTGCATCTTTAACCTGCATATGCATATGGTGGTATTCCTTTCACCCCAAGGCCAGTAATCTGGTTTTAAAAAATGAGGATATGAACATGATACTTTCAAAATTGTAACATCTTTCCTAATAAACTCAAAGCATTTATTTCAAAAGCAAGTATTTGCCTACATATGTTCATTCGTTTAATTAGATTTGGAGTTTCTGACTATCAGAAGACTTTGTATGGCTTAAATCCAAGGACAAGAAACAATAAAATAGTAAAAAGAAAACAAAACAAAAAAGAACCACACAAAACACCCCAAAACTCCAACAAAATAATCATCAGGGGCTCAACAGCCATTTTAATCCTAGACCTGAAAGCAAAGATAGGTATTTAAAGACATAGCATTAATCTGAGATGCTTAGTTTGATTCTTCACAATATCCAAGCTGCTTTTTTTAGATACATTTTTTAAAAATCATATTAGAACTTTACTTTTGTTAAAGTGTTTTTTTTTAATGAATACTGTTTTTTTTAAAAAAGAAAGATATTAGTGAAAATTTAGCTCTTAAATCAGTCAGTTAAAACAGAGATCAATAGAAGGGAATATTCGTAAGTCAGGGTTGAACTGTGAGGTCCTTGACTCTGAGCTTGGTTGTTTTCTTGCAGACGTTTCCCTACCCAACTAGTAACATTATCAGTGCTCTGCCTTCTGCATCAGTATACTGATGATACCTAGTTGCATAATGAAATGTCTGCAAGAAAACAACCAAACTCAGAGAGCACATTAAAACAAAAATGCTGGAGAGGGTGTAACAATTATTAGAATAGCTGCCATCTTGACTTTATTGACCCCCAGATGCCCCTCAGTTAAATTAATCAAATGCTGCCCCCCACCTACTGTACCGTGCATATCATGATTTCAAATGTACTGCAGCACTCTGATTACCTTGAAAATGCCACCAGCCTGGGGTTGTCGTACAAGAGATGACTCATCCAGTCCAGCAGACGCTGAAGTGACATACAGTTCTGAATAATCATATCCACCAAAAGAACAGGAAGTTGTATTGTCTACAGGCAGCTTCACTGTCTGAATTCTTTTTCCTATTAAAATAAATCAGGTCATTTCCTTAACAAAGGGCAGCAGACCAGCAGAGTGGAACTAGTACGTTTCCCTCCTTAAATTTGGAAAAAGGTAAACACCCATCTACCAAAAAATGAGGGAGTGAAGGCTGCAAATGGCAAGCTGGAATCTACATTTAAATCTGCAGGTTACACACTCCATCCTAAAGAAACAAAAGGTAGGACCTAAAGCTGGAAAAAAGAGCTTCATGGTCTTTGAAACTTTTCAAAGGCAAAATACTGATTGGATGCATTGTGCATAAATGTGATTCATTTGTAAGAAATGGGACATTTGAATCAGTTGTCTTGTTCTGGATCATGTAACCCTGACTAGAGCATGTAGATCTGTATGTTAGAATGTTTGGCATTTAGTGGGTTAAGTGCTGTCTCCTTAAGAGATGGCTTATGGGTAATGTAGTTTAGCTAGTCAGCAATCCCATGTTAACAGATCTGTAGGAGGAGTCACTGAGCTCTTTACAGGATATCCTGGCCATGTGCCAGTTTGGAACGCCTTTGTCTGAGATAAGCATGGGACCACAGGAGGACTCAGATGGTCTCATTCCACGTTAGAAGTTGGTATGGAGAAAATATTAATTTCTTACCTATAAGGATGAACAGATGTATATTATTCAGAAGCAACAACCATAACTGCAAGTATTTCTGAATAAAGTATCTGTTTTGTAATCATTCTTATTGAGTTTATCTGTATGATCTGGATTTACAAAGCAACTTAACTCTGGATCAGAACATGTCTGATTGTTCTTTCACTATGAAAGGTAAAAATATTGTATGCTGTATGCCAGACAAAGTTCTTTACCTGTTTGGCAAAGTCTACAAAATCTCCCTGGGCACAGAGAAGACTTTCAAATTCTTTGATCCATTTATCTGGAGATGTCAGGGATTGAACCTAGGGCTTTTTGCACCTAAATCTACCTTCTGGATCACATGCAGGAAGCTCCAGGTCTTGGCATTTATGGGATGACATTATCACAGAGATTTCACCAATCACCAAAGGTTTTCCATTTGCATTAACAAGTAAACTAAAGCATGAGCTGCACTGCATTTCAGATAAGATAGGGCCTTTTTATACAATATATATGGGGACCAGCAGGCTGCTTTTCAAAAGCAACATCTCTGCATGAGCAAAGGAATGTTCTGGAATTAATAAAACACACATATTGTGTTTGCTCTAAATCCCCTACACCACACAGCTTGATCTCAGGAAAGAGATGTGGACTTCCCCAGCCCATTCCCTACAATTGCTAACCTGTTTCAGGATCTATACGGATTACCCGTCCTCCACCATAACAGGCCACCCAAAGCTTCCCTTCTGTATCAATACACATCCCATCAGGAATGGCCTCTTCCTTTTCCAATTCATACATGCTCCTGCGGTTGCCTGAAGAAACACATTGAAACATATTACAAGTTAAGACACACATTTCCCAAATAATATTTTTACAAGAAGAAATGCAAAGGGGAACATCATAAATTTATTTATCTTGGAAGGAGTACTTGGGATCATGCTGGAGAATATTCTAAACTGTAAATTGGAGTCTTAGAGAAGCAGGCTTTTATCAGTAATATAATATTATAGCAAAAGGATGGCTAGAGGTTGATTTCTCCAAATTATCGACATTATCTTCCAGCATGTATAGTTATCTTAAATGAGTAAGATTAACTGAACTACATAGTTGGGAAAACAAATATGGATAAGAAACATGTTTTTGGGTATCAAGTTCACTTTAGCTTAGATGTGCTGTACCTAAGAAAGTGGATCCATTGATCTGAGCATAGGGCTATGTACCTGAGATGGGGAGACCTAGTTGAATGTTTTCTCCTCGTTGCTGTTATTTATTTGTTTGTTTATTTAATTATGATGCCGCCCATCTCCCTTATAAGATGACTCTGGGTGGCTTACAGCCATGATACCTGACTCACACAGTACAGTCCCAACCCATCCACCTAAAAGAGGATGGATTTTTTTTCTTCATAGTTCGATTTATTTTGATTAACTGTAGTTTTTACTTTTATACTACAGAATAAAACAATGTTGCTATTGTAAGCAATCACAAGATATAGATGGCAAAAGGAGACTTTGGATCTGCTTAGCAGTAATCAAAGAGGGAGAAGAGATAGAGCAGGCATGACACCATCATCTCTGAAAGGGAAGAAAATAGAGCAGTGATATTAGTGCTTATTGTTTTCTTTATTAAAGAGCGCAAGTTTTATAAGGGCTGCACTAAGCATCTTAAAGAGGCATATCACAATATGCATTAGTAAAATATCCCTCCTCAAAATATAAAAATACTGAATCTTCTGGAAGGCTCAGAATAGCTGTTTCAAAGGCTTCTCCAGCTATGTGCATGCCTGCAATCACACTCTACTGTAGCTACCAGTGAAGTGAAGCCATTGTGCATGAACAACCAGATGCCCACAGTTGGGGAAACCTTAAATTTCTGGGATTAAGGAGTTACAAGCAGATGTGTGTTATATTGTGCTTTATATTAATGTTGTGTTTTGTGTGCTGTGGTGTGTTAATATTATATCTCATCCCCTATCCTTGGAGAAATAGAACACTATGTTGCTGAAACTACGGTCATTTCTAATATGCCCAATAAATGTTAAAGCTGTGCTTTAAACAGTTTTAAGAGAACATGTAAAATCAATTGGATTTTTACATAAAATGACTTGTGACTGTAGGGATTCTACTACAGTAGAATGTGTGTATTATGTGTGTGCGCATGCACACCCTTTCAAGTCAGTATTGATTCCTGGCAATAGCCTGGATTAGCTCCTACAGTTTTATTGGCAAGATTTCAGAAGTGCCTTGCCACTGCCACCTTCTTCATAGAAATGAGAGTGACTGGCCCAAAGTCACCCAGCGGCTATATGCCTAAGATTAGAACTCATAGTCTTCCAGTTTCTAGCCTGATCTCTTAACCACTATACCAAGAGTGGGACACAGAGAGAAAGCAACAATTTTAAAATGATGTTCAAAAAACAACTTTGTTACACATTTCAAAACATGGAAAGTAGGCATACAAAGCTTCCCGGTTTGCAGGTCATAATCAAAGGCATCAACACGGTACGAAAGGCTGTCAATGTAGAAGAAGGTTCTGTGATCCAGAGACCAATCCAAACCATTGGAGATGTCCACCTTGTCAAAATGTTTCACCACAGAATGGTCAGGAAAGAGAGTGTAGAGTGAGCCCTGGTGCCGTTCAACCACTGCAGGACGAATCTCCTGAGACATCGTACCTATGGGAACCAGAGAGTTAACAGGGAAAGATAACAGCACCGCAGAAACAGCAGGAGAAAAGATGGAGTTGGATGTCACCTTTCCTAAGACAGAATGGAAAAGTAAGGGGAGTGGGCAAATCACATATTTTCATGTCCACAAAATGCTGAGGTGCACTTTCAAGATTCATGGAAGCTGCTTATTATTGTTTTTTAAAAATATATTTTATTAATTTTTTACAATAACAGTCTTTAGTGCTTCGTGAACAATGTGTTGTCTGGGTTCATATATTTAAAACAATGATAATTAATTTCTACAATTAATCAATATGTTGGCAATATATTTCTTGGTCCTCTCTTCTTCCTGTAATATTCTTTTGTCTACATTAAACAAATATAATTCTTAATATTTTCAGTATAAACCAAGTTGAATATAAACATTTTTTAGTATTTATGCACATAATAATATCAACATATAACATGTTTTTTAATCAGCTTATTTCCATTGTATTTATAAAAGTCATCTTATTAAATTAAATTATATATATTAACCATATTCAAACAACTGCTTAGTCATATAATATTCCATCTGATAAGTTGAATCACGTCTCTTGACTCCAACTTTGATCTTCTTCTTTTGCTAGGTTGTATTTTTGTAAATGTTATTGGGGACAAAAAAGACAAATAAGTAAGTTTTTGTCTCCCACGTTTTGATAATTTTTCTGAGAGTTCTTTAATCCATTTTATTTGTTCTTCTTTTTTATCCTCAAATTTGTTTTGAAGTCCTGGATAATAAAGGATCTTTTTTGTCTTCTTTAAGGTTTTGCAGAATTTTTTTGTTTGTATTAAATTGTAGTTTTCTTCACTTGTAGCTTTTCTATTTAAGTCACTTTTATTTAATTTATATTCTGTTGTCTGATTTGTTTGTTCATTCTTTGTTGTCATTTTTTGAGTGTCATTTAGTTGTAGGTTTAAGTTAGAGATATGTTCATTTATATTGTAAAACTGATTTCTAATCTCATCATGGTTTGAAACAATTATCGTTTGAATCTGTCACAGCATTATGTATATTTTCTTCTGGAATGTATTTGTATTGTCTTAAGTCATTGTTCCTGCAGATCTTTGAAGCTCCAAACTGGGTTCTTCAGGAAAAAGATGTTAGGTATGGTTTTATATCACTTTTAGATAGGTATATAATATCCATTTTATCTCTCCCCTCTAAGTAGTTTTCCATTGGTGTCATAATCTTTTTAATTAGTTTTATGAATCCAGTCCATCTTAAAATCCAAACAGCCAAATCTTACTTAGTTCTTATCTTTATATAATGGTTTTATAATCCAGTACGTTTCCAATTGTCAAAGCACCACTGAAAACAATATTTTGTGGCAGTTTTCTTTTCAGGGGTCTTATAATTATCAGCCAGTCAGGATTCAGTTCAAAATATTTGACCATCTAAAAGTTTTCCAGTAATTTCTCCTTTAGAAGGTTAACCCAAGGCCATTTTTTTTTCTTTGCAAACAGTTCTTAAGTTAAGATTTAAGAATGCAGTTCAGTGTGTTTATAATCCCAGAAGGTCATCAGTTTCTAAACATACGTAGTTTCACTCAGTAGCAGATAACTCAATGCTTTGTTCCCAGCTGTTTTTTGCTGTTTCTAGGCATCTTGCCAAATTCTAGATCAGTGATGGCGAACCTTTTAGAGACCGAGTGCCCAAACTGCAACCCAAAACCCACTTACGCATCGTCGGGTGCTGGGTGGGTGTGGCCCATTGGGTGGGCGTGGCTGAGATGGTAACGGCAGACTGGGTGGGACTAAAAAGTTCAATCAATCAATTCCAACTTTGCAAGATCTTTTTTTTTTCCACGAGAAGTTGAAATTGACTGATTGATTGAACTTTTTTTTTTTGCACACGGCGACGGAGGCCTAAAACGAAAAGGTTTTATAAAACCCAGCTGAAGGCCTAGGACTGGGGCGACGGCGCGAGTGCCCACAGAGAGGGCTCTGAGTGCCACCTCTGGCACCCGTGCCATAGGTTCGCCACCACTGTTCTAGATCAATGCTGCTATAGTTTTCTCTAATCTTCCACTAGATGTCACTGTTCTGTTCATTTTTCAACTTTTTAAAACAGTTATTTTTGTTCTTCTTTTTATATATATATAATTTCATCAATGCTTTTTCAGGCATAGAGTTTTAACAGTTTTCTTAGCTTTCAAATTTATCCAAACTGTGGTAATGTTTATTCTCCATAAGAGTTTAATTCGCCGTTCTTCACCCAGTTTCAAGCACACTGTTCACTGTTGTAGTGGTTAATGCCTTTGGACTTCAGCTGCAAGTAGCTTGGGCTGGTCAGTGAGGCATGGCCAGCCTTTCTCCTGTCGGGTTAGAAGGCTTTCCCTGAACTGAATGAAATGACCGCTGTTGTTCCAGAGTTGTTGGGGCACCCTTCTTTCTTCGCTGCCTCTCCGGGGCGATTTAGACCCATTTAGGATTCCCTGGCAAGGTGAAACTAGCCATGGAGTGCGGAGATCTGCAATCCCACAACCGATAGCTACAGTGCAAGACCGGAAATCCTCAGAAGCTGCTTATTAGCTACATCTCTTCTTCCACAGCTTCCTTGCCTACATCTTCAAAAACAGAAACAAGGGAAGTGACCATAAACAAATGTCAAAAGCCTCTCAGTTGTTAGGATGATGTTTTGTTTTGTGGACCCTACTGCAGGATTTCAAAACCAGAAAGGAGGCAGAGCATAACCTATTTCTTTGACTTAGATCTTTCTCTCTTGAAACTCTGGCAACTGTTCTAGTTGGCTAAAAGAGAGGATAGATAAGATGCTTCACTTCAGGATTTATTGGAACCAATCAGCTTCTTCTTTCCTTCTCAGTGGCCTGTCCATAATACAAATACAAGTAGTTCTCGACTTACAGTAATTCATTTAGTGACCATTTGATGTTACAATGATATGGAAAAAAGTGATGTATGATCATTTTTCACACTTACAATCATTGCAATATCCCCATGGCCATGTGATTAAAATTCAGATGCTTGATAACTGATTCATATTTATCACAGTTGCAGCATTCCGGGTTCATGTGATCCCCTTCGCGACCTTCTGACAAGCAAAATCAATGAAGAAGCCTTTCCTCCGTGCGCATGCCTGAAGATGGCGGGTGGCTCCGGGTAGCTCCGTAGCAGCGGAGCTCGAAAGGACGGCAGAGGGGAGATTCGGAGGTCCCCGGAGGTCCGGAGACCCTTTCTTGGGTGACTCTCTCTCCCGGGACCGGGACCCGGGACTTGGGACGCTGGACTCGAGATCTGGGACGCGAGGAGATGCCGGGACGCGGGG